TGAGAGATTGCTTCACTAATTTGCAGCAGAGAAACAAGAAGGGAACAGAACATTCTCATACTTGTCTAATCTTCTTTAAAATCTGCTTTTGTCTGACATTTGGACTCCACAGAGCCACTTTAACACTGAAATCTGTTTCAAGGTTCATTGTTTTTTTAGAAAACTTTATATACATTAGTGATCATATTAATTTAAACACAGAAAGCTGTTCCTGAGAATCAGAATAAATTATAGACTAGTTAGATTATAATATTGCACTATTCTATACTAGTCATTTGGTAGAGTTTGGAATTGAGGTATAATATTCTCCTAGTTTGAAAGATTGATTACAGAACAGTTATGAGAAAGAATAAAGCTTGTTTCCCTTTTAAAAAAGAGATACCAGTCTATAATATAAACAACACAGAGCCAAGTAGAAATTTTCTTTTAATCTCCGCTTTCCACTTATTGATTATGTAGCTTGAGTAAGTTATAAAAATTTTTCTTCTTTGAAAGTTCTCGGATGTTTCACCTGGATCAACCAGAGATAATGCTGTATCTCTAATATTTTAGCCATGCTAGAAAGTTAGCCTAGCCATAGCTTGCCCAAAGACATCAGACAAATGCCTGAAAGCCTTATCATATAACATGACTTTATAAATAATTGAGATTCCACGATTGGTATTTTAAAAGTTGTTTATTCTATTTTCCACAATTTGGACTGTAAGAAAGGCAAGTTCAGTATAGTTCCTATCATCCAATTTAAAAGGAATAAGCATGGAGGAGATCCATGGTATACCATAAGCTAAACTCTTCAAAAGGTGGAAGTGATTGACTGTGTCAAATGCTGCTAAAAGGTCAAGTTAGTGAGGATAGAGAATCAACCACTGGATTTAGCAAGGTGCAGATCATCAGTGACGTTGACAAGAAGTGTTTTGTTGAGTGCTGATTAGAGTAATTTCAAGAGCAAATGGGGAGAGAGGAACTAGAGACAAGCTATACGCTCACCTTTCAGGAAGTTGTGCTATTGAAAGAAATCAAGAATGGGGTAGTAGCTGGGTTGAGTTGAGAGTGATGTAAAAGGAGAAATGCTTTTTTAAGAGAGAGAAAAAATGGCAGCATGTTTGTATACATACTAATAGAGATAATACCATAGAGAAAGATAACATCTGCCAGAGTGATGACTGATGTTGGGAGGTCAAGAAGGAATGGAAACCAATATATTAATGGTGGGTAGATCTTATAGGTATGGGTAGCACACCCATAGAAACAGGAGAGAACTAGCCTATATTGGCACACATCTTGATAGTAAGGTAGATATGTTAATGGGAGAAGGTGAGATTCTTTTTTCTAATGACTTCTTTTTTCTCAGTGAAATAGAAAGCATGGTGATCAGCTGAGAGTAAGTAAGAAGAGATTTAGAGATTTGAACAGAGAAGAGAGAGTAAAATAGTCTTAGTTGGCTAAGAGAATTGGAGAGTGAATGAACCAGGAAATGTAAGATTTGCTGTCAGCACGGATTCATTTAATACTCACACCATCCCTATGAGGTACATGTTATTATACCCATTTTATAGATGAGAAAACAGAAGTACAGAAATATTTCATACTTTGCCCAAAGCCACAGAGTTACAAAGTGGCAGGCAATTTACCTTTTTAGGCTTTAAAGCCAAGTGAGTCTTAATCCAAACACTACGGAAAAATTATTGAAGCATTTTCAACGGGCACATGACATAATCAGACTTGCATTTTGAAAAGATCACACTCGTTGGAGTGTAGCCAAAGAGAGTCTATGGTAGCTTGGGGTAGGATGGAGGTGGAAAAGCTGGAGAAATGTGGATGGGATATTTTCACAAAGTAAAATAAATATACTTAGTGATGGACTGATTGTGAGAGATATCAATGATGACTACAGGGTTTCAGACTTGCAATGTGGATTGGATGATGATATCCTTAACTAAGACAGAGAAAAAGTTGGAGAGAAGGGCAAAACTTTAAGTTTTGTATCTATTGAGTTTGAAAATGTTGACTAGGGAGTTAGCTGAAAAGGTCTATTGCTCAGATGGCTGGAAATATAAAATGTGATGCAGCGGTTTTAGCAGTATTGAATATTATGAATATTCAATACTGCTTGAATACTTTTTGAATATTATGTCTCCCCAGGCAAGGGAAACAAAAGAAAAAATAAACAAATGGGACTACATAAGACTACAAAGCTTCTGCACAGCAAAGGAAACCATCAACAAAATGAAGACAATCTAACAATTTGGAGAAGACATTTTCAAATCATATCTCTGATAAAGGCTTAATATCCAAAAAATATAAAGAACTCATACAACTCAACAACAAAAAAACAAACACCCAATTAAAAAATGGGCAGAGGATCTGAATATTTTCCCAAAGAAGATATACGGATGGCCAACAGGCACATGAAAAGATGTTCAATGTCACTAATTATTAGAGAAATGTAAACCAAAACCACAATGAGATATCACTTCACACCCATCAGAATGGCTATCATTAAAAAGACAATAACAAGTGTTGGAGAGGATATGAAGAAAAGGGAACTCTCATACACTGTTAGTGGGAACGTAAACTGGTGATGCTACTACAGAAAACAGTATGGAGATTCTTCAAAAAATTAACAATAGGACTACCATATGATCCAGCTATTCCACTTCTGGGTTTTTATCCAAAGAACATGAAAACACTAATTCAAATAAATATATGCAGCCCTATGTTCATTGCAACATTATTTGTGATAGCCAAGACTTGGAAGAACTTAAGTGCCTGTCAATGGATGAATGGATAAAGAAGATGTGGTATATACATACAATGGAATACTATTCAGCCATTAAATAAAGATGAAATCTTGCCATTTGCAACAACATGGATGGACCTTGAGGGCATTATGCTAAGTGAAATAAGTCAGAAGAAGAAAGCCAAATACCGTATGATTTCACTTATATGTGAAAGATAAAAACAACAGCAACAAACAAACACACAGATATAGAGATTAGACTGGTGGTTACCAGAGGGGAAAGGGGGAAGGAGGGCGAAAGGAGTAAAAGGGCACATGTGTATGGTGTTGGACGGCAATTAGACTTTGGGTGGTGAACAGGATGTAGTCTACACAGAAATCAAAATATTATGATGTACACCTGACATTTATATACTGTTATAAACCAACGTCACCTCAATTAAAAAAATAAAATAAAATGTGAGGCATAGCATAGAGATGATAATTAAACCATAATTGAAGATGAGATGGCTTTGGAACAAGTATACAGTTAGAGGAAAAGAGGTACATGGTAATACCTTGAGAAACTCCAAAATTTAAAGGTTGAGTAAAAATAAATATACCCACAAGTTGCCAGAGAGCTAGAAAGAAGTTAAAAAGACTGTGTGTCAAGGGAGCTAAATAGAATATTTCAAAGAAGAAGGTTTGATCAACAGTGCCAAATATTGTTGAGAGGGCAAAATGAGGAACCAAAATATCCATTGGGTATAGAAACTGTGAAACCTTTGGAGATATTACTCAGCTACATCTGTAGAATAATAAAGGCAAGGGTCAGAGTGGAATGGGTGATGATGAGCTGGAGATGAGAAAATTGCTGCAAGAAATATAGATAAACGCAGTGAGAAGTTTAGCTGAAAAAGGAACGAAAAGGAAGGTGATGGTAGAGCCCTGTGGAATATAGGATTGAGGGTAGGATTTTTTGAAAGAGAGAGACTTGAGCTTATTTAAATGTCAAAAGAAACCTTCCAGATATCATAGATTGGTTCTGTTTATGGGAATATTAGAGGGATAATCTATAATGTGAGATAGGGGAGGGGATAGAATCCCAAATACGGAAAAGAGATTGCATTGGCAAAGGAATATCTCTTCTAATCTAACAAGAGAACACAAACATATAGATAAGTTTGTACAGGTCCTTTGCACATGTGTCTATTAATGTTTTATTTTTGTATTGATTTGAAAGAGTTCCATATTATAAAGATTTTTACCTTCATCTTTTATTATATATGTTGCATACATTTATGGCGTTTTTGCTTGTCTTTTAATTTAAATTAATTTGTGATTTATGGCATAAAAAGTTTTTATAAGTAAGTTTGGAGGAAGGTGGTCAAAAGGTACAAACTTCTATTTATAAGATAAATAAGTAGTAGGGATCTAACACACAGCATGATGAATATAGTGAACATTGCTGTGCAGTATATTTGAAAGTTGTTAAGAGAGTGGATCCTAACAGTTCTCATCACAAGGAAAAACCATTCTTTTTCTTTTTTTTCTTGTATCTATATGAGATGAAGAATGTTAACTAAACTTATTGTGATAATCATTTCACAATATAAATAAGTCAAATCACTATGCTGTACACCTTAAACTTATGCAGTGCTGTGTCAATTACGTCTCAATAAAAATGAGAAGAAAAAAAGATGGTTATTTTCCCCTCTTGTCCCAGTGACTCTCTGGGTCCTTTTATCAGGGTGGGCGTGGAGTATGGATTAATACCTTGTGTTTCATACAGCACCCTAAAGGCCATTGTCCCTGTGCCTCACATGGACTAAGCCTTTATTTAGCTAGAGAAAAAATTTCCAATGTTTCTATCTAGTTTGTTTTATCAAATTTTCCTTTACAGTTTCTACATGTGACATTCTGCACAGAAAGACCTTCTTCAACCAAAGTTTACATAAACATCCTCCAATTATTTTTTCTAAGACATACGATTTTTTTCACTTTTGGGTTTTTAATACATCTGAAATCGTATTTATATTAGGCGTGAAGTAGGGATCTCTGCCCAGCCCACCTCCACCACCAGCAGCTCAGTGGGTGCCTTTAATTAGAACATGATGTCCACCCTCCAGGTTTTAGCCTCAAGCACCTCACAAATTGTGTAACGCGATCAAGGAACAGTTCCTCGTGCTGGGTCAAAACTGCTCGTGGGTCTGTTGGGTTCTTCACCCCTGCAGTGGAAGCGAGGACGGAGAACTGTGCACAGCTTTCCTCAAGCGCATGTGCCCCTCTTCTGCCAGAGTCATTCAGAATGTTTCCTGAGAGTATATTTTTCACAGTTTTACTCATTTCTCAGATTAAAGGTATGTCTTAATCTTTTTATCAGGGTTTTCTTACTATGCTATGAGGTAATATCTCTTTAGTCACAAAGTCTAATTTGTAAATGATAAAAACATTAGTATCCATTGATGATTTTACTGAGAACATAGCATAGGACTTTGACTAGATTATGGCTAATCCTGAGATTCCAGGATTCTATGAAATGCCCTATCACTCTTAAATCCTCTGCTTTACAGCGAGCAGGAGGAAGGAGAGGACATTACTGAATATTTGCAATGTAGCAGACACTGTGCCAGCTTAGCCACTTTGTATATTAACATGTTTAAAATTCTATATTGATGTTAGCTCAGGGCCGGTCTTCCTCAGCAAAAAGAGGAGGATTAGCATGGATGTTAGCTCAGGGCTGATCTTCCTCACAAAAAATAAATAAATAAATAAATAAATAAATAAATAAATTCTATATTATTTTCTCCACTTTACAGATAAGGAAAGTGCGACTAATATCTACAGATGAGCGAGATTAGATATGCTACTCATGGTCATACTACTAATAAACTGGTAAAATTTAGATTCAAATAAGAGCCAATTCCAAAATCCTCTGCTCTTTCCTCTATATCAATCTTTAGTTAGATAAGCAGGGCTCGCCTCACAGATGACTACAAGTTTTTTTCTGAAGTATAATTGACATACAATATCCTATTAGTTTCAGGTGTACAGCATAGTGATTCAATATTTATATACATTGCAAAATAATTTTGATAGGAAAGGTGTAGAAGATTATGTTTAGCACTGATTCAAGAGTACCTAAAACCCCTTTCACTGGTGAAAGCCTTATACTTAGCTGTGAGAGTTAAGACTTCAAGCGCAAATGTCCTTGGGTGATAAAATCAGTAATTTACATTGAAACAGTCCATTCCAGTGCAGGCTTTGACAGGTAGCAGAATCCAGAGACAGGTATAAGGAAAATAAGATGACGAAGGTGGCAACTGCAGAGCAAGGTGAAAAGGGGACAAAGGACCCTGATTTCTTTGCCTATTTTCCAATTTTGCTTATATTTTTCTAATTTGGAAATCTTAGTCTCAAATCCTTACCTGTAAAGTGGGGATGCTATTTCATAGTGTTGTATATGGCTGCTAATTGGGAGCAAGTGAACTCTATGAGAATAATTCTGTTATCCAATCGCTGTGGGTGAATGTTAATGCCAGACATATTTTCCCCCTTATGTTTCCTTTTAGAAAAGGTAATCCTTGGAGTAGAGGGTCAAGAACTGGTTTATCCTAAAAGGCTTCCTGTGATACAGAAGCGAGATGTTTGGCACACCCATGATTATGACATACAGGTACAGGTTTTGATTTAATAAAGATTTATTGCTTTCACAGGCATGTAGAAAGCAACCTCTGGCTGCAATCAGAAGCAAACGAGAGAGGCGTCTCAGTTTTTCTGAGGACTCCCATTCAGCTTATACCATGTGCTTGGGTGGGTGGGGGGTAGAAGTTGCAGGGCAAAACAACCCCATGACAGATTAGGAAACAAAAAGCAGTAAAGTTCAGGCTTTAGAGGGTGCCATTTAAATTTTTTCAGTGTGTGTGAGGAGTTTCGCTAAGGGCTTTCCAGGCGGGTTTAAGGCAACCTCATTTGTTCTGAGCCGGTGCCTATGGAATGTAATCTTGGAGCATTTTGCTTTCCCAGTGATCTGATACACAGGTTTATTTGCCTTACAGATTCTGTAGCAAAGTTGGATAACTTTCAAAGGAACAAAAAGGCCTACTTGGCTTATTGCTTAGAAGGATGTTGATTCAGGTGTTAAAATTTAAAAACATTTAAAATTTTATTTTCAAAAGTAATAAATGTTTATGTAGAAAATACATAATACACATAATGGGAAGTAAGCTTCAAAATTAGGTTATTTTCAATTCCCACTCTAATAAAAGACATTCAATGACTGTCCTTAGACATTTATTATCAGACACTTGCATTTTGAGCCTTAAGTTTCTAATTTGGCTCATGAAGACTACTGACTGTCACTTTGTCCCAACACTCCTTGAGAGTGCAAATCTTTCCCAATGCAAGGACTCTTCTTCCTTCCACCATTAGAAGAGCCAGCCTTCCAGGCTCTCACTTGTTAGGTTTCTCGGTCGTAAGTAAGACACATTTCAACTTTCCAAATGGTCCCATCGAGGCCTCTTTCCCATGGTTTGAGATGATGCAACAGCAACTCTGCAACTGCCGTCGTTTGGAAATAATGTCCAACCATTTTTCTCTAACAGTCTCCTTACAAATAATTTTTCTGTTGATTTCCAGTTCTTTTCTCACCTTCTCAAACCTTTTATTGGTTGAAAGTTGGTATTCAGCTAAGAGGGCAAAATCAGCTTTCTACCACCCATTGTGCAAAAGCCGGTGGGCTCTTCTGGCATCTTTTGTCTTAAGACTTAATCAGGACTGATATTAAAAGTCCCATTATGAATATACAAGATGAGCCTAGACTAGGGCAGGAAAGATACAAGATGAATTTGGAGCATCTTCTAGTACCAGAAAGTAAAGAAGTTCTTAAGCAAACAAACAAAAACATTGATGGGAGTATGTCAAAAGAACAAAGGAGCCAACTAAAAGAGCTCCCAATGGCCAAAGAAGGGACAATTTGAGCAACAAAATTAATAACGTAGTTTTGGACCATAACATAAAGTATTAATTTAATATCCATGAGCCTATATTGATATAAATAAATGATTGAATAAACAAATAAATGGGGGAGAATAGACAGATCTCCCATACAGAAGAATCAAAAAATTGATGTAGATACTCCCCTCTCAAGGAAGTGGAGCATAGCTCCTCATCCTTTAAGCATAACGACTTCCTTCCCAAGAGTAGAATCTGGAAGAAGAAAAGTACAACTTTACAGTGGAGAAAGCTGACAAATGCTACTTCAGCCAGGTGATCAAGGTTAACATCAGGTTGATGTTAACGTTATGTTAAGGTCATGTTGATAGTATGCACTCGATATGATGTAATGAATATGGCACTTTATTTTGTTGTTTTCTCCCAAATCTCCATAATCCCAGTCTAAGCAAGAGAAAAACATCAGAAAAACCTAAATTGAGAGACAGCATACAAAATGCCTGACCAGTACTCCTCAAAACTGTCAAGGTCATTGAAAATAAGGAAAATCTGAGGAACTGTCACAGTCTAGAGGAGCCTAAGGAGACACAGCAACTAAGTGTGGTGTGGTATACTGGATACACAAAAAGTACCTAAACAGAAGATACATGCGGGAGGGACCAGAACTGCAGCAAGGCCACACAGTAGCTTGTAGATCTCTGGACAAGGGGAGAATGTGCATTTTTTCATTTCATGTTATTTTAGGACTAGAAAAAAAGCCCATCAAAATTTTTAATTAAAAAATAACTTGAAACCAAAATCCTCCATATATTAGCTCTCCTATAAATTCAAATTTATCAGTGTTTATCATTTTGCCTGAAAGGACTCCTAGGCTGCTGGCTAGACTGTGAAAGATCTGTAATTTCCCTCCACCCACCCCACTGCCCACCCCCAACACACACTAAATGAGCACACATTTAAGTCACATGATGGATATTGTTTTTCAGGAAACTTATGAAGAAGAATTGTTGTATGAAATAAGGCTAAATAGAAAAACCTTAATACTTCACCTTTTAAAATCAAGGTAAGTTCCATTAGGATTCAATATCTTATAGATTTATTAGTCTATAATATCCCAGTTTTTGTAAAAACTGCCAGGGAAGTGAATTCCCCAAGTCATTGTTATCTATATATAATCTGAATTATTACTCTTCTAGAATAAGCCCATCTCGTTTCAACAGCTTAACAACAACTATAGACACTGTTCTCCAATTCCTAAATTACTTTCTATTTTGGGTACTTGGGGTTATTTGAGCTCCGTATACTCACTCTAAGAAGAGAGTTAATACATTACTGCTTTGTGAATCAGTGGAACAAAAGAAATTTGAAAGCCATGGTTTTTAAAGTGCCTTCTAAAGTCATTTAAAATAGATATCAAACCAAGTTCTGTCGGAGAGTAAGCTAAGAACTGTGAAGAATTTACCTCATCAAGTCATCTTGTGTAAACTAAACAATTCTAATGCCTTCAACTTTCTTCCTTTCTTCGGTAGCTCTCTTCACAACTTTTGTTGTTGTTGTTGTTGAATTTGTTTTCCTTTGGGCTGTTCCTACACACAATAGCTCAACCTCCGAGCCCCAAACATTAAAATCATGAAGAATAGTCAAATGCTAACATAAATGGGAGGGTAACTCTGTTGAATAATTGAGACTCTGGCCTGGTAGCTAAAAACAACAACAACAAAAATACAAAACAAACAAATAAACAAACAACCCTCCTTTCACTCTGAGTCCCTCACTGGACAAATGTACAGAAATATAACAAACCTAATAGCATAACTATATTGATAATTTATTCAGACTCTGCGTATTCTAACATTCCCGGGATGGAAGGAAGCTAACATCTATTGAGCAATTTCTGTGTCCCTTTCCTCAAAGTTATCTCTTAATCCCGACAATATCCATAAGAAGCAGATATTGTTTTATTTCCATTTTACTGAGGAAGAATCATAGGCTCACCGAGCTAATTGTCTGGGGTCACAATGCAGGTAATGATGCTGATACTCAACTTCAGATCTGCCTGCTTTTGAAATTACCCCTGCTGCCTATGCCTCAAACAGCCAATCTTATTACATTAACCATTGTTTAATTCTGCTAAGCAGCCTGGAGTGGTATATTACAGAATTATAGACATGCAAAACAGTTTAATCTAATGCTGATGTCTCTGATCAACTCGGGGGGCTACATTACCCCCATTTCCTCAGCTCCAAGAAGTAAATGAATTTAGTGCATACCAAAGAGCCTCCCAAATCTGTGAATATTATTTATTTAGCTATTTTCCTATGATATGATAACAAACATTTAAACTTTTTAATTTAGATTTTTACTTCTCCATAACCACTTTATTCTATATTCCCCCTATGAGTTTCACCTAGCTTGATTTTAACCATACTGAATACTTATTTTATAAGCTAATGTTGAGAAATAGAGGTAAACCTTCATAGGCTAACCATGTCGAATCAGATTGTTCATTCATCCAGTGGCAACACTGATTGGGTCAACCGTGTCTTCACTATAGTAAATCCATTAATAGGTGAAAAGTTACATTTATACACATATATGAGGCAGAAGAATCATTAATTTAGAATATACTATACAACCAAGCACTTGACTAGAAGTTTTATATATGCTATTTCAAAATAACCACAAAAATGATTTATTCTATTTATCTATTATATCTTTCATTTTTATGAACAGTTTATTATAAAAAAATTTTTACACATGGAGTGAAGTTGAAAGAATTTTATAGTGAACATTAATATGTACATATACTCATAATCCCATCAAGCTGTACATATTCACATATACCCATTAACATTTTACCATGCTTGTTTTATATCATATTTCCTTATCTGTCCATTACCCTATCCATCCATCCATCCTCCATCTTATTTTTGTGCATTTCAAACTATATTGCAAACATCAGTATACTTCCCGCTAAATACTTCAGCAAGCAGATCTTTAGAGTTTATTTGTTTACAGTTTTTGCTTTTGATGTAAAATTTTCATGCAATGAAATGCAAACCTTAAGTGTACATTCATTGAATTTTGACAAATACACAAACCTGTTACCCAAATTCTTATAAAAATGAATTACAAAGAACTGTCACTCAGAAAATTTCCTCCTTCTCCTTCGTAGTCAACTTCTCTCCAAACCTGCTAACAGAGGTTTTATTCATTATAGATTACTTTTGTCCATTCCGGAAGTTCTGAATTTACACTGCATGTACTCTTTTGTATCAGGCTTCTTTAATTCAACATTCCATTAATGAGATTCATCCATGTAGTTCCACATATCAGAAGTTTGGGTCTTTTACTTTCTATTCCATTGTATAAATATACTACAGTTTGCTTATCCATTCTTCTACTGATGGACCCTTAGGCTGTTTCCAGTGTTTGGCTGTCATGAGTAAAGCTTGAATGAGCATTCTTGTATAGTCTTTTTATAAATAAATGTTTTCATTTCTCCTTGGTGAACACCCAGGAGTGAAATTCCTGAGTCTTAGGGTATGTGTGTGTTTAGTTTTATTTAAAAAAAAAAAAAAAAAAAGAACTGCCACATCATTTTCCAATGTGGTTGTACAATTTTATGTAACTATCAATAATGTATGACAATTCTGGTTGCTATGTATCCTCTTCATCATTTGGTGCTCTCACCTCGTTTTAATTTTAATTATACTAGTGAGTTTGTGGTAATATTTCATTCTAGATATGTTTGCAGTTCTCTATTGAAAACTTTTAATGTGCTTATTGACCATTTCTATATCTTTTGCAAAGTATCTGTTTAAATATTTACCCATTTTTAATTGGGTTATTTGTCATTTATTGAGTTGGAGGAGATCTTTATATAACTTGGAGACCAGCCCTTTGTCAAATATACTTCTCGTTAATGATTTCTTCTAGCCTGTAATTTTTTCATCCATTTTCTTAGTTGTGTGTTTTAAAGAGTCAAAATTTATAATTCTGAAGAACTTTCCATTTATCAAATTTTTCTTTTATGGTAATTACTTTCTGTGACCTGTTTTCTTCTAAAGTCTGTATGGTTTTAGCTTTCAATTTTGGTCTATCATCATCTTGAATTCATGTGTGTGTGTGTTGAGGGGTGGTCTTGTTTTTCCATATGCATAGCCAGTTATTCCAGCCCATTTTGTTGAATTGTCTTTCTTTGGATTAAATTGCTTCTGCAGCTTCACAGATGCACAAAATCAAATGACTATTTCTTGGCTCTCTACTCTATCCTCTTCATCTACTTTTCAATCCTTAAGCCATGACCACATTGTCTTGATTACTGCAGCTTTATAGTAAGTCTAAAAGCCAGTTTGGGTAACTTCTCCAATTTTATTCTTCTTTTTAGGAATTTTTAAAAATTCTAGACCCTTTGCATTTCTATATAAAATTTAGAATATTCTTGTTCATTTCTATTTTTAAAAAAGCCTGCTAGAATTTTGGTTAGGATTTTATCGAATCTGTACATCAATTTGGAGAGAATTGATATCAATAATATTGAGTTTTCATGTTGTATCTCTATATTTATTTAGGTCTTTAATTTCTATCAACAACGTTTTGTAATTTACAGTGTAGAGCTCTCTCACATCTTTTGTTAAATTTATTTCTACATATTTAATGTTTGCGATGCTCTCGTAAGCAGAATTGGTTTTTATTATTTCATTTTTCTATTGGGAGGCTTTAATCTATGAATTTATTGATTGTTCTATTGATTACTTAGAGAATTTCATCAGAAAATGTTGGTCATTTTATTTATTTATTTCTAGTTATTATTACTTTTATTTCTATACTTTGTGGCCATGGCTAAGAGCTCTAGCACAATTTGAGTAGAAGTAGTGAGTTGGCAACCTTACATTATTCCTGATCCTAAGAGGAAAGTGTATTAATATGATATTGCCAGATTTGTCATTGGCGTACTTCATTAGATTAAGACAGTTCCCTGAGAAGTTTGCTGAAAGTGTTTTGTCTACATCCATTGAAATGTTCATATGGTAATTGATGCTGATTGATTCTTGAACATTAAACCAAGCTCAAACCCCTGGGATAACACTCTCTTTGTTGTCTTCAGTTGACTAATATTTTGTTCAGGGTTTTTGAACCCATGTTAATGATGGATATTATTGTGTATTTTTAGTTTTTGGTAATGTCTTTGTCAGATATTTATATTAGGATTATGTTGGCCTCATAAAGTGAGTTGGGAAGTGTTCTCCCTCCCTATATTTTCTAAAGGATGTTATTTTCAGAATGTTTGATAGAATTCACAAATGAAACTATCTGTGCTTTGAGGATGTTTTGTGTGTATGTGTGGCGAGAAGGTTTTATGGTTGCAAACTCAATTTTATTAATAGAGGGTTATTCAGGTTTTCTATTTCATTTTGTGTCAGTTTTAAATTTTAATTTACATAGAAAATTTATATTTCATCTAAGTTGTCAATTTTTTGGCATAAAGTGTTTCATAATATTCTCTTGTTATTCTTTTAATGTCTGTATTATCTTTAGTGATAACCCCTCTATAATTTCTAATATTGGTAATTTGAGTTCTCCCTCTTTTTTCTGACCAATTTAAAGGGGTTTGTCAATTTGTTGATCTTTTCAAATAATTAAAATTTGGCTCTGTTAATTATTTCTATTGTTTGTCTATTTATTTCACTGATTCTAGCATCTTTATTATTCTATTCATCCTATTTATTTAGTCTTCACTTTTCTCTTTTTACAGAAATGTTTCACCTTTTCTGTCATAAGTATTTAAAATATTTAAAGCTATGATATTCCCTCCAAGCATTAATTTAGATGCATCTCAAAAATCGTGATATGTTGTATTTTTATTATCATTCATTTTAAAGCATTTTCTAATTTCTTTTGAGATTTCTTCTTTGACTCATGGGTTATTTAAGAGTGTTATTTAATTTCCAATATTTGGTGTTTATTTTTTTCACATATCTTTGTGTCAAACTTCTCTAATTTAATTTTATTTTTGACAAAAAATATACTTTATATGATATCAATTTTTTAAAAAATGTA